TATATATATATATATGCATTTTTCAACTTGTTCACACTTGAAAAGGGGAACACGCATTTCATTTCAATATTTTATTATCACAATTACATGGGGCCCGCAATCACATTAGTTTATTAGCATCAAATTTATTTTTTGAGCAATTTATTATGTTGTTTTTTATTTAAATATGAATATAGGGCTCATTATGATCAGCTTCGAGTGGGGATATTTTGGGTTGAACTTTCTGTATCCGTTCCATGAAGAAAAAAAGTTAAAAAATACATATTTAAAATTAGAAAGGCGTTGAATTTGGATTTGTGGATGAATCACATCTAATGAATAGAGCGAGAAAATGAGAAAGAATCATAGGAAGAGAAAGATTAGTCTTTTTTTAAATGATTTCAACAATCTCTATTAGATTCAATGATCCTCTATGCATAGTGTTGAGATTGGTGTGAAATGATAATTACAACTCTGATCATCGTTTATCGGTCGACCTGAAATCAATCGGCTTCATGCATGCAATTGATGAATATCCAGAGGGTAGACTTATTGTTGGTTGGCCCCTTTGTAAGTGGTCTCTGAGGCAGTCAACCTCTAATCTAATTTGGCTAGCCTCTTGATTGGTTGACCACTCGATTAAATCTCCGACATTTTTGTTGGTTGACCCTTAGCTGGTCACTCGACCACTCTCCATTATCTGGTTCAAACCACTCTCCATTATCTGGTTCAACTGGCCTTTGGAATCTTTATTTATACTCATAGAGTCCCATCTAGCTAGTGACACAAGCTCCACTCTGAGTTGTTCGATTCACAGAAAATGATCAAGGATATTTTAATTGTACATAAAATACAATTATGTCCTTTTCTTACTAGTAAAGATAGGCATAACGCCTCCTTATTGAATTCATGGACAGCTTAATATGCATTTACTTTTGAAACAACAAGTATCATGATTCATGAGAAATCAAGCTAAACTAAGGTTTCCAAATTTATTGAAAGCTATATTAGAATTTAATGCTAGAGAAATATGAAAAAATTATTCTTTGAGGGAGAAGAAAAAACAATAGTCCAGCAAAGTATGAAAAAATACTGTACAAATAAAATATTATCTAGTTCTTTCTCTCTTCGATACAATTGTTGATGACTGCTCTTCGAAATGAAGAAATAAAAAAATAATAATGAATTTCATTCAATAAAAATGGAATTTTATTCAAGGATGAGAAAGTGAAATGTCTTGCAATAAGGCATCTTAGATGGCCATATTCACTTCACCACAATTATATATAGAGATATGGATAGATAAGACAAACTAAGATGATGTGTCTTGATGTGATCTTTGCCATCGAGTCATTACAAGAAAAATTCATATTATCTTTCCATCTCATAGACTATGAGGTTTGTAGATATATATATATATATATATATATATTCATATTCATAAAATAAATTAATTTTCTAGCTGAGTATCGGTCAAATCTGATTGTCTTCCAATTAAATTAGAATCAAACGAAATGGACAATCAACTACTTAAAAATATCAATAGCATACTTAAAGCGTACGCTTGTCACGAAAGCAACGTTTGAACAAAGGCGAGCAGCCGAGCAGTATCGAGTTTTGGAGTATTGGCAATTTATAATCAGTATTCTCAGATATTTGATTATTAGTCTTTTCCTGCACTGTATTTTGCCCTTGTTTTATTACTCTCTTTTTCAACCGGTTATTTAAGCGGTTTGATTTGGGCTAAGAATCCTTTCTCTACAGAATCAGGATTGAACCGATCAAAATTAAAGTTGAACTAGCGAACCAGTCCAGCTGCTAAAGAATTAGTCGGTTCAAATATTGTTCAATTTTAACATTTTAATTTCGATTGGATACCTAAAAAGAAGATATTTATATTAAAATTAGAGAAAATTTTATGTTCAAAATATTACAAAAATGTTGTATTATATTAAAATACTATTTATTGAACAAATAAAAATGATGTTAATTTCTACCACTTAGATTATATTAAAATAATTTAAATCTTAAGTACATCATCCGATTCAACCTCTGGTACAATCTCGAATGAACAATTGAACTTTGACATTTTTTTCTTCTGGTTCAATATGTGGTCTGATTTTCATAACTTTGATTCTCAGTTTGGATCCCTTAACTCAAATTACCACTTTTTTATATTTGACAAGAAAATGCATATAACTACAAGTTCTTCGAAAATTATGATGAAATATATAGTTGCTTTTAAAAATTAAGAATAACATAAAAAAATAAATAGTAAATTAAATCATTTCGAATTCTTCTCTAACAAATACTTACGGCTTTAATTTTCAATAACAACGTACCAAAACAAATTTGGTTAGCTTGTTGTTGCCCCTCATAGAGAAGATTATTTGATGTGCTCTGTTGATATGTCTTCATTAATTATTTGATCATGCCAATCAATCATCGTAGTACTATCAATGAAAATTCACTGTTCGCGAACAGTTCATCTTCGTCACGTTAAGTAGCTCGTATTTGAATTGTCATTAAGTGGGTCAGTCAAACTCAAATAAATTTTTTTAAGCTCAAATTATAAATGAGCCAAACAATGCACATTTTAGCTCCAAATAAGAAAATTATTTATATAATAATACATTTTATATTTTTATATCAAGTTAAATCACCGTAATTTGTGTGGTCAAGTGATTCTATGATTTTTATTGTATAGAAATGATATAAATTTGAATTTAACATCTTTCATCTATCTTTCCAATTAAATTATACAAATAAACTATTTATAAGCAATTTCAATCACGACGAGCCGAATAAGGGCCAAGTCAGAACTTACTCAGCCCTAGACTGTTATATCCTATTTGAAAGAAATCAATAAAGACAATGCAATATATTTATACACACTAATTGATCCTGAAACTTCATGTCAGGTTGAATATCCACAAGAAATTTGGCCTCCAGCAGAAAATGTGACCCAAATGATCTACAAAAACTATAATTTCACCATCTGGGCCTTCTGGTCCCCTTTCCTCATAAGAGCCGAGGAGACAACGACGACTAACAAGTACGACATGTGGAATCTATATCTCGACGAGCCCGACCAACTCTGGCAACGCCAAATGGCCAAATTCGACCACATCGTCCTCAACACTGGAAACTGGTACAGCCGGCCCGCTCAATTTTACGCAAAACAAAAGCTCATCGGCTGCCATTACTGCCTCTTCAAGCGCACGCCTTTCATGAGCCTCTACAAGGCTCACCGACAAGCCTTCCGCACTGCAATGGATGCCATTGTCGACAACAAGCAGGGCTTCAAGGGGCTGACCATCGTGCGGACGGTTTCGCCGTCGCACTTTGAAGGTGGGGAGTGGAATAAAGGTGGAGACTGCCGGAGAACGGCGCCGTTCCGGCGGGGGGGAGCGAAGCTCGTGGGAATGGATTTGGGGTTGTATAAGGATCAGTTGAAGGAGTTTTGGAAGGCGAAGTGGGAGGGGAATGAGAAGGGGTTGGAGTTCAGGCTGTTGGATACGACGCAGGCAATGTTGTTGAGGCCGGATGGGCATCCGAGCAGGTATGGACATTGGCCGCGTGAGAAGAGGGTTTTGTATAATGATTGCGTGCATTGGTGTCTTCCGGGGCCGGTGGATATGTGGAATGATTTGTTGTTTTTGGTGCTGAGTGTGTGATGGGATTGTGGTGAGTAGAAGGGGGTAGTTATTTTTCATTAATTTGATTTCTTTTATTCATTTTTTGAGGTAGAGTTGCACTATTCTTTTACATTGAATGATGTATAGATTAGAATTAAAATTTTATTTGGGTTTTGAATTCCTATATTATATCTGCATTGTGGAAATTATGTTTTGAATTTCTATATTATATCTTCAGGGTGGAAATTATCTCTAATCGAACTTCTTTTCCAATAGTTAATAATTCATGAATCTAGAGTTATAAATTATGAAATGAAAGTGTTTATAAACTTGGAATCATAAAATTTAACTCTCATACTTCTAACTTTTTCCTAAGAAGCTATGAAGTTTTTGTTCTCTCTGTTCTCTTTTAGAAGCTTTTATTCTCACTTGATGCATCATGCTTAAGAGAATGGGGGAACTTGTACATGTTAAGAAATACTTTATATCATGCACTATTTATCAAACAAAAAATATCAATTCTTCAAGCACCTACCAAATCAACCACATACCAATGCATCAAATATTTTACCTTACATTTAAATTTTGAAGATATAAAATTTTCTATAAATTTATCTGTTTATTTATTGAAAGCAATGTTATTTTCAACATGCTCCCTTAAATTAGAATTGTAACTCAAAAAATGCTTCGGTACTTCACAAAAGCTATTCTTTGTTTCAGTGGCTTAGTACAGATGTCTGTCTCTTCATCTTAAGACACCACACAATTTAATTCTATTTTTTTTTTTTTTGCAACACATTAATTTATGTAGTAATAACAGGCCTTAATATATTTTCTTTGTTGTGAAAGATGAGATTTTTTTGTGGATTTAAGTGTTGATTTATTACCTATATGTATTTCAATGAATTCTTCATTTGAAAATTATAATTCTTGTTTGTCATCACTTTAGTTGTCATACGTGTGAGGTGTCCAGTTGAATGATACGAGATTGCATCCAGTCTATTGTAGTTCAAGGCATCCGGTTGGACCTCCTGATATGTGCTTCGAGCACGAGTCCACGAGCGGTACCGATTCAGCCCTACCCATGAGAGCTTACCGGTGGTTGATGATGAGGAAAATGTGTGCCCCACTTCTTTAAAAAAAGGGAAGAAGAATTATTATTAATAATAATTTTATTTTCGACATGATATCAACTTTGAGCAACTAAATATGAAGTTTAAGTGTTAGATATAGAAATACACCAAGAAATTCAGGGAGTCAATGGTTTTGGACGAAACAAAGAGGGACATGCGAGAGTTTCAGGGAGAAGAGATTAGGGCAAGACAGAGAGGGAGGTGATTTCAAGCGGGATATAGGATTAGTTCTGACACCCTATAAATTGCTTTTATTGCGTGTGTTATTAACACTATTACCGACAGTTGTTCATGTCGCTTAATAATAAAATACATTGGTTAAAATCTCACCAGATGACGGCCTCAAAGATAACCGACAAACTATAACTGTCGGTTAATATTTGCTTATAACCGATGGGTTTTTCCATCGTTTATAATTAAAAACAGTCGATAAACAAAATATTGCTGATAAGAGACTGTATATGTTGTTGTATACTATCGCAAATAAGCAAGATAAAAACAATCGCAAAACCGTCGACAATTAGAATAATTTTTCTGACAAGTAAAAAGCCATCGGATTTTCCATCATTTTTTACGTTTTTTTTTGTAGTGCTTTCATTAACAATGTTAATCCATCTATTTACATATATCGTTATGATTCTCACATACTTTATATTTGTAACCTACTTATAACCTACAGATATATGAAAACAGAAACGCGGAACTTATTAGAAGGTACATGTATATTACATGTAGGTTACAGGGAGGTTACAGAGGGTATGATGCGGATATAACTCCCCAATACCCTCCTTGTAACCTACTGAAATTTTTTGATTTTCGAGAGGGCTTAAATGCATTTTATGGGCTGCATACTTACTGTTTTGGAAAGGGTTTGAATGCATTTTTATGAATTGTATACGTACTGTTTTGGCAAGAATTTGAACTCTGTTTTGACCTAGAATAAACGATGTTTTGCAAAGAATTTGAACACATTTTTGGGCTTTGAATGAACGCTGTTTTTGGAGGAGATTTATATGCTATTTCTAGACTTAAATAAACGCTATTTTGGGAAAGGATTTGAACACTGTTTTGACCTTGTATAAATGTAGTTTTGGGAAGAATTAGAATACTGTTTTGGGCAAGAATAAATGTTGTTTCAGAAAGGGTTTAACCGCTGTTTTGGGCTGATTAAGGGCTGTTTTGGAGGGGTTTGAATGCCTCCTTCTAGCCCGATTTAGTGTTGTTTTTGCTCTATATTTTGCTGTTTTGAAAGATGTTTGAATGCCGTTGTGGGTCCCTTTTTTTCTATGTTTCCTTGCTTGATGATCCGGTTTATGTGCTTACCTAAATAACTCTTATGTTCAAATATAAGTGGAGACATGCACGGCGTAGTGATATCAGCGGGGCTATAATTTAGATGGTTTGGGGTTAAAGGGCAATAATGTGAAACGCTTCTGGTGCTAAAAGTAGGTTAAAAGAATAGCATCTCCTGACCTGAGGACCTTCGGGAGGGCGCAGGGTCGATGTTACTATTCACCAACACTTGATGAAAAGTTGTTATTGTTTTCTCAGGTTGTCGGTAGCTCTAGCCCGGTCAAGGCGACTAACTTGTGGACCTCTTGATTTACATAATACTTATATATGACATAACAAAAAAAAAAAAATTTCTCGTGTCATTACTATTTTTATACTACTAAGTAAATGTTTAATTGTATATGCCTAACAAATTAAGAATTTTGAATGTTATCCTATACAATTCCACTCGTTACTCACTTTGAGTGTGCTAAGAGTTGCCCTCCTTCAATTGTTTTGTTGGTAGCCTTTGTTCTGTTGTTGTTGCGAGATCTAAATATACTAGTTGATGTGGTATATATATAAATCAAATAGGAGAATCATTACTCACTTTGAGTGTGCTAAGAGTTGCCCTCCAATTGTTTTGTTGGTAGCCTTTGTTCCGTTGTTGTTGCGAGAGTTGTTGTTGCGAGATCTTCCGTTGTTGTTGCGAGATCTAAATATACTAGTTGATGTGGTATATATATAAATCAAACAGGAGAACGATCGACGAAGTGAAAAATAAAACGAGAAAAGTCACACCAGAAAAGAATAACATAACAAAACACACAGATTTACGTGGTTCGACAAATTGCCTACGTCCACGGAGTTGCAGAGGATTTTACTACCTGAGGAATTTACACCAGTCGATCACCTCGACTTGAGAGGAATCTCTCACTCTTCATTGTTCTCTCTCTTCTTCTCTCTCTATTCTCTCTCTATACCGAGATACACCGAAAAAAACAAACTTACAGGGGAAATAAATTCAATTTCTCTTCTGTCTCAAGCCACCAAGAAGAAGCCTAGTGAGAACAATCTTCTTCTTCTTTCTTCTTCCTTCTTCCTTCTGCCACAAGGAACTGCTCCTCCTTACACTTCTCTTCCTCTGCCCCGAGGAAACCTTCCTTTATCCCGAGGAAACCGAAGAAGAACTCAAAGCTTGACTACTAAACCCAAGGAGAGCCATCCAAAGCTTTTATCACAAGCAGGAGGGAGCGAAGAGATGCTTCACTTCACAAAAGAGGAAGGAGGGAGTGGTTATTTCTGAAGAGGTGTGACTCTAAAAAGCAAAGTAACCGCCCAAGCATAGTGGACCGGGCTCCACCGTTTCTAATAATTCTCGCACTTGGAGATCTGTACACAGGCTGCAACATCTCATTCCTCAAACTGATATCCTCCAGTCTAACTTGAATCCTCTACCTTGAATCCTCCACTGTGAATCCTCCACCTCTTCAACTCAAAGCCTCTGTCTTCACTTCAGAAAACCAACTAAAGCTGTGTTCAACTTCAGTTTCTCTAGAGTAACACCCTCAGTCAACATATCAGTAGGCTCCACATAGTTTTGCACCTCCAAGCTATTTTCTGGGTCACTCTTTTCTCTTCTTATAACTCCCACTGCATGGACAACATTCTGCCTCTGCTGAAAGTCTTTTCCAACAAGTTTAGCTTTGTACCTTTTACTGACATCACGCTCAGTCTTCAGCTGGTACACCCACTTATTGTGCAATGCCTTCTTCCCTGGTGGAAGTTCTGCCAGCTCCCACTTGCTCGAATTTTCATCTTGCAAGATTTCTTCATAGCTCTATGGTTCTTCAACATTTGTCTGTAAAACAATAGGAATGGGTGCCCCGGACCCACTTTCCTCTTCACTTTCATCACTGCCCTGCACTGTGGCCTCTGGTAGATTTCCTACTACATTCAAAGCCCCTGAATCCAATATCAAGTCTTCAACAGAACTATGATTTGCCAATAATAGTGCATTCTGTGATTTTTTAGATACCACATTTGCACTATGATTCTTCATCTTCTTAGGATTCCTGCAGTTCTTCTTTATGTGGCCATCTTTCCCACAATTACCTTGCCACAATTTCAACAGGTTGTCTGCTTACTAAACTTTGATTTTAATCTCTCTATCCTTGAGTTCCTATCATGCCATCTCCCTTTAAAATCAACATTCAGCGTCGAACTTGAACCTGAGACCTCACTAGAATCTTTTCTGCGAACTTCTTCAGCCAAAATCAAATCACGATTATTATCGTACTTCAGTTTAGATTTACTTGTAGAACTGCTAACTGCTATCCTCATGACTTCCCAACTATCTGGCAATGAAGTCAACAAGATCAGTGCACATAACTCATCATCAAAATCAATTTCCATAGACGATAATTGATTTGTGATAGTATTAAAAACATTCAGGTGTTGAGCAACAGAAACACATTCCATCATCTTCAATTGAATAACTTCTTCATCAAGTGCACCTTGTTATTCGCCGATGGTTTTTCATACATACCTGATAAGGCTGCCATGAGATCTGCAGTCGTCCTCCTTGACGATGATGTGTGCAACATACCTCGATAGGGTCAATCGAATACCCCCCAGAACTTGTCGATCCAATAAATTCCATTCAGCCTCATCCATTCTTTCACGTCGTTTCCCCAATAACGGAAGATGAAGTTTAT